ATGTACAACAAGCTTATGGCTCATACAGCACGGCTACCTAACCTATACTTGGGAGCTCAGGGAAGGTTTCCTATATAAAATCAAGTGAAAGAGAAGGAGCTGAGGCTATGGAGAATTGGGAACACATTCCAGGCACAGAGATGAAATAGAAGCCCAGTGTTAAAGGAACATGGCACTTTCAAAGATATACAAATATTTCAGGATGACTGGAGCATAGAATGTCAGGTAGAGCATGCACAATGAGGCTGAAGAGGTAGACAGGGTCCAGATAACCTAAAGCCTTGTTTACCACTTTAAGGATTTTCATTAACCTGAAGTCAACAGCAGCCAATTAAAAGCTTCTAAAGCAGAAGATAACCAGTAAGATCTGTTTGTTATAACAATTCATGTGGGCTGGGGGACCAGGCAGGAGGCAGTAGGAAGACTAGACTGAAGGTCATCACAATAAACACAGATGGTAGCCCAAGCTAGGGGGGGTGAGACTGGAGATGTGGAGGCAGCAGTGGCTCCTATACCGAGTTTCTTATTCTCTGCTGTTCCTGGCCTACGTGAGAAGAAGACAGGGTCTAAAAGTTCTATCTAGGAGGGAAGTGTGAGTTGATGAAACTCCCCAAGGCCACAGAGTAAATCAAGAGGTCAACTGAGACCAAAGCACTGGACTCTCAGCAGCCCCCTCAGAGCCCACATGGAAAAATAACAAAACTGTGTATGATGAGAGCAGACAACAGCAGCTCCGTGAGTCAGATCAGGGCAAGACCGCCACGAGCTGGGAGAGGGATGAATTAGAAGACTAAAGCACAAGGTATTTTGGTAGTGGGCATAAGGTAGGATAGGAACGCACAAGACGTGATTTAGAAAGTACAAAAAGCTGGCAGGGGTGCAAAGCATATGCTAGGGAAGGAGGGAAAAGCCTGGAAAGGTAAGTTGCAGCCAAATGATGAAAGGCCTTGAATAACTTGTCTAAAAAAGCAGAGGTCTATGAGGTCACAACTGCCAGGGAAAAGGTAACATGGTGGCGGTAATTGTGGACTCCTGGCTTGGGAGATGGAGATAAGACCAGCGCTCCCATTCCCTCCTGAGTCATTCACTCACCCCACCCACCCATGGGGGAAGTTAATTTGGGAATGGGATGGGGGAAGGGGCATGGGGGCAACAGAGGCAAAGCAGGGGATCTTTCCAAATTGTCCCCTGAATTTCTAACAAAAATCTCGTACATACAGCACTCAAAGCATCTGCTCATCTGTCACCTCCTCTGATGGTCGAAATAATCTTGTGAAGTAGTAGGGTTAATCTTATCCCCCACTTCCAGGGGAAAAAACAGCTCAGTTTGAGACCCAGAGAAGGAAGTGACTTGCCCAAAGTCATACACAGAGCTGTGACTTGAGTACAACTCTCTGGACTCTGAATCACATCCCTATCCCCTGGTTTGCATCTGTTTCAGCATGCAAGTGGCGCCCCTCTATAAGGCAGAACTCCCCAGGCAGCCAAAAGCCTTCAGGAACCTGGAAAGGTAGTCTGGGAGGCAGGAAGATCCAGATGGGCATGGCGTGGCCCCCAGGGGAGTGCCTTGCAGGGAGGGTGCCCAGTCCCTGTCTTATTTTAAGTAGAGCCCCATGCTGAATCTATTCCAGGAGGATGAGGCCGGAGAGGGCCGCTTCAACTTCTCCGCCTATGGGATGGGCCCAGCCTGTCTGCAGGCCAAGGATGGAATCTCGGTCAAGGGCGCCAACAACAACAACACCACCAATCCCCCTCCAGCACCATCTAAGACCCCAGAGGAGATGCGAAAACTCTTCATCCAGAGGGCTAAGAAGATCGACAAAATATCTCGCATTGGCTTCCCCATGGCCTTCCTCATCTTCAACATGTTCTACTGGATCATCTACAAGATTGTCCGTAGGGAGGACGTCCACAACCAGTGAAGGGTCTAGGATGTAGGGAAGAGGGGGATTGGGAGAGGGCAAGGTGGGAACACCACAGGAATCTGAGAGCCTGAGGAAGAAAGGGGGAGAGAGGAGAGGGCACACATCCACAACTCACTCTCTCTCTTTGCAATATGTGCAATAGCAAAATGCAGTGATGCATGAATTTTAGAATGTGGCAATATCTATTTAACCTCGGGTGGGGGGGTGGGACTTTTCTAATATAGGAACTAAGGGATGGGGAGAAAGGGGTAGGGTAAGGGTGGAGGGTGGGGAATGGGGGGATAACAGCTTTCAAAAATTTGAAAGAGGGTACAGTCTCCCCCAGAGCAGGAAAGCAATGTAATATATGATATATATTCATGCTTAATATTAATGCAAAACCACAAGAACAAAAGATTTGTTTCTTACTCTATCAGCCTAGTAACTGCTTAAATTCTTAAAGTCACAGAAGTGATGGACAATTTTTCCCAGAGTGGAAATAGTCACAAATACGCTTGCTCTGGTGTGTGTCCCACATCACACCCTTCCAAATGCCATATCTATCTTCAAACTGGCCCATGTGGACACATGCCAAAAAGCCATTCTGCCTCTGCTTCAAGAGGAATGTGCGGCATGGGCATGGGCAGTGGATATGGGGAAAGTTGAAGACAAAGGGAGAGACTAAAGAGATGGGACATTGCAGAGGCCCAAGGATTGAGAACCAAGGAAACCCCACCTCAATCCTCATGTCTCAAAATTAAGGACCACACTTGAGCCTCTCTTGAGATCTCTCACTTCTGTGCTTCAACACCCACCCCACTCACCCTTCACCACCACCCAGAAGTGGCCGCCATGATTTCCTTGTGATATTGCCAATATGCAATCTTTTTTATGGTTTAAAAAAAGAAATAATTTCAAGAAATAATATGCAGATAGACTGAGTGTAAACTGATGCACTTTTTTAAATGTCTATTTTTTTGGAGAGTCTCTTTGGAATTACAAGTGGGTGTATGTTCGGGAAGGTGGAGTCAGTGCAATGAAGTATATTTATTATATTCTGATTCTATGGAGTGAAGCTTTAAGACATGAAAGGGTAGTACTGAGGCTGCTACAGTTTAGGTATATATGGGTGGGGAGAGTTCAGAAAGTCTACTCACTATATTTTAACATTTCATGTATCATAAATAATATGGGAAGCTTGGGGATATGACCCCATTCTATTTTTATAAGTCTTTTCTTTTTTTCTTTTTGGTGCTTTGTTTAGCTTTAACATTTACAAAGGTTAGACAGATAGTCTCTTTCTTTCTAACTCTGAAGTACCAGGACTGTTCCAGGATAGTTGGAGCACTTCAGAACAAAAGAAGAGGAAGTCCAGCTGAAGGACATATGCACAGATGGGTGGTCTACACAGTAGGCCATGGCAGTGGGATTAAAGAAGGGAGCTCTCTCTCAGCACAAGGCACTGTACCTGGAATGGGCATGCTGAAAGATGACACCTTGCCTGCTGCATTGTCCCTGCCTTGAGCCCATGGTCATGATGTTGGAGTTCTGTTTCTTTTTTTGCACTTTAGTGTCTTGGCCTTGGACAAAATAATAGGTAAAATGGTGAGAAAATGTAGACAATCAGTTTGTACTGAGGCTTGGGGCTTCAATAGTGTCTTTTGAGCATCTACAAATTGGGACAGGATGGAGGGGAGTGGTGTGAAGAGTTAAGACACTGTGAATTTAGTTCCTCACTAAAGTATCTTTCCCTAGCAAAATTCCTCCCACTATGTATGGCACAGTAGCTAGTGTCTGTACAGGCCCTCCAGAAGCTGGCCAAGTCAAGGATCTACATGATTTAGGTAAAGAAAATGTACTATGCAGCCAGAACAGGATTTGGCTTTGAAGCTTAATGATAAAGCTGTTTACATCTAGGTTCCAAAGTCATTGTCTTCCTTTTTTGTGGCCTGTATAGATCACAAAGTTAAATGGCATTCCAGTCCTGGATGATATGAGACAGAGCTTGGAATCCTTTTTCCTAAGAAACCTTGAGGGATAGGAGCCAACTGGTTGGAGTATCTCATCTAAGACCATCATTTTCCCCACCATAAACATGTGCCCAGATGAAGTAAAGTTTAAAAGATGGATTTGAACAGTTACTAAAAGTCCAAGAATAGAATATTAGTCTTTGAACTAATAGCACCTTTCATTAACCCTACATTCACTTAGGGGAGAAAAAACCTCAGTCCTAAAATGGTGCATGAATCTTTGGAGCTTCTATTATTAGCCCCTTTCACTAGCACTTTATTCATTTCATTTAAGGGAAAACTTATTTTTTACTTTTAAAACATTAAAGAAACCCTTCCCTATACTTTGTTACTAAATTTGAATATCTGGAGTCGAGGTGACTCAGGCAACAGAGGCAGTAGGCCTCCATCAGGGACTAAAGAGAGTACAAATTGTACTAAGACATTTTGCCTCCACCCAAACAGCAAAATCTGCATTTTCCAAACTGGTCTTCTGATCTGAGGTGTCTAGAATCCCTCAGAGACAGAGAAATCACTGGGCCATTTGCCCATCCTTTGCTGGGACCATGAACTTTTGCCATCATGCCACCATTTTTGACTTTGGGGCTCCATTACAAGCTGCCAGCTTTGGATGACAGCATCCAACAGACAATGGGATCATCAATTTAAGACACAGAAGGGGGAATGCCACTGGAATCTTCTCTCAGACTATTTCAAACTTAGTGGCTGTCATAGAAAAGAAATATGAGTAAGCAGTATGTTGTTGCTGTTATGTGCTGTCAAGTCACACCTGACTCATAGCAACCCCTCCTTGGGTTTCCGAGGCAGTATCACTACGGAAGTAGATTACCCAAGCTTCCTTCCGAGGATAGCAGTAAGAAAAGGACTTGAATTTTAGTCCTGCCACCAATATGCCGGATGACCTTGAATAAAGGACGAAGTTTTAGTTTCTCCAAATACAGAATTGGGAGAGTAGTATAAGTGATCTCTAAACTGAAAGTTTAATGTCACTTTGACTTCTGAACCCACCAATGGGTGAATGTGTGCACGTATGTGCACACATACTTGGACCCACACAATTCTAGTTGCCTTTCTTTATTAGAAAATTTACAGACTCATTTTTCCTTTTGTACCACTCTATCAACACTGGTGGGAAAAGGACATCAGTCATTAAAAAGTAGAAAATATCATAAATTAGGAATGGGAACATGCTCCAGGATCATTATGTATGATCATTAATGTATAACGTAAGGATTTAGCAATAAATGACATAGAATTCATCGTTATCGAAAAACCAGATAATTTAGGCCTATTGTTTTTTGGGTAGCTCAAATGAACAGGACAATACTTTCTTAATTTCCTCTTCAGTTTGAGCACAGGGGATACTATGCCTTGGGACTGTATATGCCAAGTGGTGCAGTGGGAGGAAAAACTGATCTAGTTACACTAAATGGCTTACTGGTTTCCAAGTCCTTTACATGCATAGACCAGTATTTTATATATGGAGGGTGAATGGGATGCTGACATAGAGGAGTTGGTGATTTCACCCACCTCCAAAACTGCAGCTAATCCCAGCAGCCAAATTTAAGAGGTATTAATTAAGCAGAAGACAGTACTACCAATAACTCCTCACCTATTAGTTTGTAATATATCTCATTTGTTTCAAGAGAAGCCAAAATAAATGACTCAGCTCTACCACCCTCTTGTCCTTTCAAACTTCCAAGAGCCCATTCTTGGCTATGGCTGTAGTGAGAGACTAAGTACAGGCATGAATAGAAAGAAAATGGTGTGTGTATGTAATATCTCGAATTTATCTCTATCTTTAGTTCAACTCTAGAGATCTGAGGAGCATTTGACTCAAATTATTTCCGTCCTTCTAAGCTGTCAATAAGGAATAAATCGCTCCAAGAAGCTCACCAGCATTTTCCGTAAGTTATTTGTAACCTATGGTAAATATGATGGAGTGGCTTCTTTCCTTCTTTATGAGCATCATATAAAAGAGATGGTGTTCACAAGGTTTCATGGTACTAAGACTGCATTGTCAATTGCTGTCTAGGTGAGCTGGTACCATCAGCGATAACAGTCAGTTTTGGGAAAAATTAGATTCCTTAGTTAATTGCAGCACTCTGAAATGGAAAGGAGTTGTAGTATCCACTATAACTGCCTCCTTACAGGAGAAGCTGGCAAGCAGAGTACTGGGTGGTGGTGCAATCCACATCAGCTTTTGGATTGGGGTCAAGACTTCAGAATTCCCTATGTGGCTGGAAGCCCAGCCCTGGGACAATGTATACCTCTCTGGAAGCAGTCGTATTTACTCAATAAGCACCTTTTGCACTGTGTGAGAGGCAGGAAAGAGCAGGCTTTCCCTGTGGGCTGCATTTTGCTGGTTGGCTGGAAGACTTGTACTCTGAGCAACTGGCAAATTCTGTTGAGAAGGGTGAATGGACCTCTACCCATGATTTTCAGCATCTTTAATTTATGAGCCAACCAGGCCAAAAATTCTCTTTTAACAGGCAAGCAGGAAGCATGTTCTTAAAATATGATTCTTCTTTGTTCCTCCTCTAAGCCCTTTCTCTCAGAAACCAACTCCAGAAATTTGAATTAAGAAGTCTTTTTTCCTGAAGCTCTGTGACATCAGAAAAAGGAACTTACACTAACCAAAGGACCAGAATAGGCGGCCTTTTAAGTGGGCTGGTTTGCTCTTAACTACTTGTATCAGTGTAAGGAAAATCATGTGTCTGCAAGGCTTTGATCTTACAGTATCCTAAAATCTCAATAAGCAGGAAAAACATCCTCGGGGAGGTTGAAATCCCTACTGGGATAAAGAACTTTTTAAAAAAAATCTTGCCTAGATCAGTGTAGAGAATAAGACGTGACTTTTTTCTATTCCAGCTGAAGAGGTCAGAATATCAAGGACAAGGGTACCCTACAAACATGTCTCCCAGACCTGAGTGAGTCTTGAGGTCCAGACTAGATGATGCCTATACCAATTACCTAGTTGCTTCCTTAAGTATTTCTAAAACTGTACAGACAGCAATGGCAGGAGATACGTTTGCCAATGCGTGGGTGCTATTTCACGCTGTTTTGATGGAGCCGTGTGGTTATTTAAAGCAATAATTAAGGTGCTTTATCACTCTTTGGAACAGCAAAATGAGTTCCAAACTAGAAATTATTGCCCAA